AGATGGCTTTAATTGGCTCCATATGGTGACACGCTTGGGTGATGTCAAGTGTTTACATATGAAAGGAGTACAGAGATCCTGTACACATAGTGATTGTGTAAAATTAATTTCCAAAAGGCAGCAGCACACAAGTGGGAAAAGCTTCACCCATTTATTTCACATGCATCCTATATAGAGTATTCCTCTGTTGTTACCCGAGTGAGCAAACAATTCATGGTATTGAGGAGGAAGACTATCAAAGGGCATCAGCAAAAAAATGATGGTCTAGATCAGTGATTCCCATCCTTGGGCTCCCAGATATTCTTAGACTAAAACTCAGAAGCTTTCATCACTAGCTGTGCTGGCTAGGATTTCTGGAAGCTGTAGTCCAGGAACATCTGAGGGCCCAAAGTTGGGAACCACTGATCTGGATACAGTAATTCCAAAACATATGGCCCCAGAAATTCATGGACTGGAACTCTTAGAAAGCCCTAGAAATGCCTAGAAGCTGTTGGCTATGCTGGATGGGGCATTGGGAGTTATAATCACAGGAACACCAGGAAGATAAAATTGAGCCATGCAGCGATTGCTGATGAAGCTGTTCTTAAGTTGGATTGTTCTTAAGTAGGGACGTTCTTAAGTAGAGACCCCACTGTAATTCCAAAACATATGGCCCCAGAAATTCATGGACTGGAACTCTTAGAAAGCCCTAGAAATGCCTAGAAGCTGTTGGCTATGCTGGATGGGGCATTGGGAGTTATAATCACAGGAACACCAGGAAGATAAAATTGAGCCATGCAGAGATTGCTGGAATCTGCAGAAACAGCTATGTTGACCAAGAAAGTCCAAATTCCTTATGAAGATTGTATGTTTATGAAGCCAACTTTTAAAATACCACCACTAGAAAACCAAATTTGGACTTGATGGGACATTGTATTTACCAGCATTTTCTGGCTGTCTACTGGTTTACATTAAATGCTACATGATACTAATAATTTGGCACCACCTTTATGGCAGATTAAAATCTAGTGAATTTTTTCAGTATAATGTCTCTATTATAGAGGTAGATTAACTTTTCTTTTCACATGCAGTGTTAAAGCTGTTAAGACACACAAATACAGGTGGTGCACTGGAGTTGGTAGCTAAACATCTGGCTACATATAAGACTTTATATTGCAATAATTTAGATTTAGTCTACAGCTTTTTAAACGGCCCTGATGTTGGCAATGATGTGTACACAAGGATTTATAGGTCAGTGAGATCTGGAAATCAAGGATGGAATTATTGGTACCTTATAAGGCAAAACCTACTTCGGTTTTGTATGGGTTTGCAGTTGCTCCCCCCAGTAGTAGCACAGAAGTATTTTGTGGCATCAGGCACTGACCGTCTTCTCTCCAGAGGAAAGTGCCATATAACCAGTTAAAACCGTGAAATAAACAAAAGCACAGGTGCATTGGAAATGTGCTGTTGCAGAGTGAGGAGATGATGTCAAACCTTAAATTCCTTGTCACTTGGTGGCACTGCAGAAAGATCTTTAAATTTATGGTAAACTTGGGTGGATTGCTCCCTAGAACATCGGTATAACAAACTTAAATGAGTACAAACAGGATTGCCACGGCTTTCTCTACCAAAGAAGGGTGAGGATTATTGTTTGGTAAATTGATTTGGTTCTAGATGGGGGAAAGACAGTGGCACCTGCATGAATGCCAGCGCTGAACAGAGGATTTATGAGGCCTGGGCCAGATATCATGTAGGGAGCAGGACCTCTCTTACGGTTAAAGGTGGTTTGGTTCTTAGTATTATGGCACAGTGGTTAAACTATGACACTGCAGTGAAGACACTGGTCATCACCTGGGTTTGGTCCCGACAGGCTCAGGTAGCTGGCTCAAACCTTACTTGGCCTTCCATCCTTCTGCCAGACATCCATCTTTCTAAAATGTTATCTTCCATTGGTAAATTTGGTACCTAGGTGTGTGTGGGGGAGGGGGGCAATGTATAGCCTGCATAATTAAATTGCTGAGAGAGTGTTTTAAGTCACATGGGGCAGTATAGAAGCTACCGACTTTGCTCTGCAGGCAAAGAATGTATTTAAGTTTTGCTTAGGGTAGCGCCCAACAGTGGCAATGAATAATTCCAAAAGAAGTCTGGGTAAAAATGTTTTGTGTATAACACAATTAGAAAACAATTCAGACTATAATATACACAAGCATCATTGCATAGTCTCTGTCACACACACACACATTTAAATATGGAGTTTCACGTTCTGTCATGTTCTCCTTGGAAACAGTTGATGGGAGTTGCAAAGGTTCCAGAGACTTACACCCAATGGTGCTGTCTCTAAGTAGAAATAAATGCTATTAAATTAAATGGGGCTTCTAAGTACGAGCATGTGGGATTGCAGAGTGACACAAATGTCTACCTAGTTCTTAACACTTAATGAACAAAGTTCCTCAGTTCATTGAATGACTAAGCTGGTGTACCCTTTTAAGGACTCCTAAACTAATGACTTGAAACTCTTCCATCATTTAAAAAATGAGCATCTTTTTAAAAAAAAAAAATTCCCCATTTTCCCACCTCCAATTTAACAACTCTTGACCAACACCACCCTGTTCCAAGGAGCATAGCCATACAATCCCTTCCTTGTTGTGAAACAGCCCATCCGTCCATTTTTCATTATCCAAAAATCAAAATGATGTCTCTTCTGAGCAAAGTAGCTCCATAACTTTGGGATAGCTTTAGCAACAGGGATCCTCAAAAGGCATTCTTCAGCTAGCCCATGTTTTCATCAGAGGTGCAGAAGCAACACAGGGAAAAATAGGACAGCTGGAAAAGCAGCACTTGTTACAGGATAGTTGGGCACAATTATTTTCTTGGACCACCACAACCTCCCTGCCGACTAATATGGTCTGAATTCTGCCCTGCTCCTGAGAGGATTTCGTGAAGGAATCCAGGTAACTTTTTCAAGGACAGAATTGCTTGAAATACCTCCAGCTAAGGGGAACTCCCTGCCCTTTTTGTCTGGGAACAAGAGTGTTCCTATGTAAAAGTGAAAAAAAAAGGGATGAGGTAGGAGTAAGAAAAGGACCCGGGAAGAGCCATCCCGACAAAAAAATTATATTCAGGAATAGCAGTCAACACAGTAGCTCCAGGGGGATATTGGTGTGTTCAGTACTGTATTTGATAACACATTTGGGAGGAAGGAGAACAGGGTTATTCTGCCATTCACAGTGACTTCCCCTTTTGTGTGAGTTAGCAGAATAAACTATGCAGATCATACATAGGTACAACATCCTTTACACCTGCACTGACTACTTAAAAAAGTTCAAAACAACTGCACGAAAAGCAAAAAACAGATTCCACGGATAAGAATTATGGGTTAATTTAATTACAGGAACAGTTAATTTACAACCACTTCTCTCCTTTTCTCACCTCGGGCAGGTGAGGAAATAAGTTTTCACAGATTTCTGGCCACTAAATACTGCTGTTGAGAATATAGATGACCCACTAACCCCTTTGCTACCCCAGTCACGACGCCTTCTTCCCAGGCTGCCACCTCAAGAGAACATCTTGTAAGAGCCATGTGCTGAAAGAGGAAGGAAACAAGAGGCCCTCGCTCTGCACTTACTCTCCCTATCTTAGGGAGTGATTTTACCTTCCCTCTCCCAGCACAGTAATGAAAGGATCAACCACCCACCACATTACTCATGGAAATCCCTCCCCAGTGCAAAAGAAGGTGAGTCTTGGCAAAGTGACTCTCCTAGCTCAGTGGTTCCCCAATTGTGGGTCACCCATGTGGTCTGGGACTGCCATGCCCAGAAACCTTGGGCAGCACAGCTGGCAGTGAAGGCTTCTGGGAGTTGTAGTCCAAGAACACCTGGGTGACCCAAGGTTGGGAACCACTGCTCTAGATGACTGCTCCCACACACACCCTGCTTTGATGGCTGCTGGCGAGGATTCTGGGAGTCATCATTAACATGTCCAAGCTCTGAATTTTTTACACTTCCACCCATTTGTTCTCATATGTGTTTCTCACCATGTATTAAAAACTAGCTACGAGGGCCTTTTTAAAAAATAACTTCTTACAAAGGTATCGGAAAGCCCACTCATCTTCTTGTTGCTCTTGGCAACTTGAAAAGGGACGAGCAGCGTGCTGATGGGTGTCTGTGTGTGTGAGTTGGGGCGGGAGTGACTGGCTGTATTCTTCTGAAAGGTCTTGGCCCCCACCACTGCCCCCTCCACCTTCTGCAGCCCTCTGGTGCACAACGCTTTCATTGGGCACCCTTCCCATGATCCTTTGAAGTAGGAAGGAGGGTGAGGGAGGTGGGCCCTTTTCCTCCCTCCCATCTCTTCTCAGGGCAGCAACACCCCACCTTGCTCATAAACATCCCCTCCCCCCCGAATACAGCTATTTATACCGTAAGGTGCCTACTCTCCATTTCTGTATGATACCCAGCAAGTCCAATACTCACAGCAGAAGTAAGATGATACAGATGTGGCTGCAGCCAAAGAAAGAAAAAGCAGGGGGAAGGGACTCACCCCTATCCCCCCCACCCCTCAACTTCTGCTTCCAAATAAACACTTTCACCAGAATCCTCTTCTCGCGGACACAAGAAATGGCAAAACACTGTTTCACAAGCCCACTGACGTTTCTCTAAGAGCTAATTTCAGTTTGTGCAAGCCCACAGCCCCCTTTAAGAAAGCGCCCACCGATTTTTTTAGCGTCTGGCCAAGCTTTGGAAATCTTCAGCTGCAGAGGGTGACAGAAGCCATTCAGCCCTGGAATGGCTCTGATGGACTTCCGGTTCTTCTCATATTACACACCGGTACAGTGGTGGGCCCCACCTACCCATGTTCACAACGCTTTTGTATGATCACCCCTAAGAAAGAGCCCTTCAATGCAGTGGAAGGATGAGAGGGCAAAAAAGCTGAGGAAGACTCACCACTGCCCAAGTTACACCTTGCCACATAGGTTTTGTCCCCTTCTCCCCGCCCCCCCCCCGCCCCCCCGCNNNNGCCAGCCAGCCAGCCAGCCATTCCACCCTGCAAAATCCCACCCCCAACCCCCTAACATTAAAGTTCCTCTATCCAGTTCTGATAGTCTTTAGTATATTGGGTGAATCCAGTGTGGGGTCCAGCTGGTCAGACACTGAGCAACCAAAAGAAAAAGATAGCCGCGATGAAGAGAAACAGGGAATCCTGCCAGCTCGAGGGGCGCGCAGCGTTGACATCTAGGCAACGAAAACAAAGAGCAAGACAAAAACAAAAAACAAAAACAGAGCAGAGATTAGAAGAAAGCAAACAGCCATCCTTCAAAGCCGGGTTTCAACTGGCTGGGATCTGACTTGCGTTGGTGTAAGGTTTGCATAACTTACCCCAGCTAGGTGCCTAATGCTATCATTGGGGGAACCCATCGAGACAAATTGTGGCATTTTGTCAATTATCTGTAACTAATTGGGGCATGTTAGGCAAATAGAATTCTGACCAAGGAATACCATGGGATGCTGGGCAAACACAGGCATCATTCAGAGACTCCCCCCTCATGATTCTCAGCTCAAAGGCCCATCTAGTCCACTGTTCCGTTCACAGGGTGGCCAACCAGCTGCCATAGAGAAGCCCAGGAGCAGGACACGGGTGTGACTCTTTGCAACCTTCCACCTCACATTCCCCAGCAGCTGACAGACAAGAGACACAGGGCACCTCTAGTTGTGGAGGTGATCTAGACTAGTAGATTCCAGCCTTGGGTCCCCAGATGTTCTTGGACTGAAACTCCCAGAAGCTTTCCCCACTAGCTGTGTGTTGGCCAGGACTTCTGCGAGTTGTACTCCAAGACCCTCTGAGGACCTAAGTTTGGGAACGACTAATCTAGAGCCGTCGTAGCCACCACTGGCCCTAACCTCTCTGAATTTATCTAATCGCCTTTTAAAGTCATTCAAGCTGGCCCAGAACTAGCACATCAAGGATACCAAAGAAACATCCCATCTCAGCTGCTTGGCCTGCTGGGCTCGAGGTTTCTAGTTGCTCTTAAGCTCAATGATCATTTTCAACTACATATTTTTCATTTTTAAAAACTAAGAAATCCTTCCCAGAACCAGAATCCAAATACAGTGGTGCCCCGCATAGCGAGGTTAATCCGTTCCGGATTAACCATCGCTATTCGGAAACATCGCTAAACGGAATAGAAAAACCCACTGGAATGCATTAAACTTTGTTTAATGCGTTCCAATGGGCCCCAAACTCACCGTTCAGCGATGTTCCTCCATAGCGCAGGCCTTTTTCGCGCCCTTGGTAAGCGAGGGCAGGGCGCGAAAACACTGCGCGTGGCCATTTTGGGTCTTCCAGTGGCCATTTTGGAAGCGCCGATCAGCTGTTCCCCAACATCGCAATGCGAAGATCGGTAAGCGACGTGCTTACCGATCGTCACAAAGCGAATTTTGCCCATAGGAACCATCGGTATGCGATCGCATTAGCGATCCCAAAAACGGATCGCTATGCGAATTCGTCGTTAAACGGTGCACTCGTTATGCGAGGCACTACTGTATATCAGATAAAGAGGCTCCACTAGAAGAGCTGACAAGGCAATTTTTACCTGCATAGGATTTCTTAGTTTGAAAGCAGCAGGCCTCCCTCTGGCCACCTTGGGACTCTTAAGTGTCTCGTTCTGCTGCAGATGAAACTCCAAGCCTGATGTTTTGGCTGGGTACGGGGAGGGATTTTCCATCTGACCTACAGGTCTCGAGTTGTGTTACCTGCTCTTTCTCCTGGAGCACTGTAGCCCGTAGTAAAAAATCCAAAGGGGAACGCGCCAATGCCAAATGCCATGTGGAAACCGGTGGCTGCTTCAGGAAAGCCGCCCAGGCCCTGCTGGTAGGGCAGCAGAAGAAAGAGAGAATAAAGGAGAGGATTGTAATCATTAGATCATTGGAATAAAGAGGGTGTTTGTTGGGCTGGTTACAGGGAAGAGTGGCACTCACCTCTCGGGACTCAGGTTCCGGGCGCTGACCTCGTGGTCTAGGGGGTGTCTTCAACCTGCGTGGGAAGGAAAAAGCTGGCCATTGTATAAAAACATGGCGAGGAGTTTAAACTATTATCTCATCTAGGCCAAATGACACTTTTCTAAAAATTCACTGCTGCAGTTTCTCATAGCAACCAGCCTTCTTTGATGCTTGGTGCAAGGTCAGGGAAGCAGAGCATAGAAGTTACTGTTCTAGACTACAACTCCCAGAATGCCCTAGGTAACAGGCTGGGACTTTCTAGAGATGTTTCCAAAAAGGTAAGACTGCCTGGGGACTTCTGGGGGTTGGGTAAGAGGAAGATGCACAAAGATGATTAAAACTTTTTAAAAAGGTAAATAACTTTTTATTTTAGGGAGGGGATGCCTGCCTCACAGTGATTTACAATCTACCATTCATAAGACAACAGAGGAAAGGAAGGAACATGTTGCAAGTAAGCAAGAGAAAGGATTTTTATTATAGTATTTTATCAAGTGCCATCAAGTCAATTCTGACGTACTGGTGACCCTTTTTCAGGGTTTTCCAGCCAAAGGATATTCAGAAGTGATGTACCATTTTCTTCTTCTAGGCGCCAAACCATATAAATGGGGGAATAAAGGGGGGGGGGAACCCTGAATGCATATTTATTTTACAGAGTTCCGATACTATAGTCTACTCCTGTACTCAAAGGCTGCCAATATTGCTCTTGCATAACCCTTCTGGCTTATAAAGGATGCTTCCCCACCCATGTTGAGGCCAGACACTTTTTTTCAAATGATATGGCAGTAGAGATGTGACATTAGTATTTGTATAACTGGGGATACAAATATGAATATCAGCACCACAGGTGCCTGGGGAAACCGGACCCTCCCCCCCAGAACTAGCTGGTCCACTTGCTGGACAGCACACACAGCTGTCGTCATGCACGTTGCAGCAATCGCGGAAGCAACCTGGCTGGCGCTGCCCCAACTCCCCACACAGTCAACAATTCTGGGAAGTCAGCTGCGTGGGAAGGTGGGGAAGTGCCAGCCGGGCTACTTCTGTGACTGGCACAATACAAATGACGATGGCCATGTGTGCTGGGCAGTGAGCAGTAAGTGGACTGGCTGGTTTTGGGGAGCAGGATCCGGTTTTCCCCCCAGGTGCCTGTGGTGCCAATATTTGTATTCGTATCCCCCAGGAATACAAATACGAATATCCTATCAGCACCACAGTAAAGGTAAAGGTTCCCCTTGACATTTTTTGTCCAGTCATGTCCGACTCTAGAGGGCGGTGCTCATCCCGTTTTCAAGCCATAGAGCCAGCATTTGTCCGAAGACAGTTTCCATTGCCACGTGGCCAGCGTGACTAGGGAACACCATTTTACCTTCCCACCAAGATGGTACCTATTTATCTACTCGCATTTGCATGCATTCGAACTGCTAGGTTGGCGAGGAGCTGGGACAAAGCGACGGGAGCTCACTCCGTCGCGTGGATTTGATCTTACGACTGCTGGTCTTCTGACCCTGCAGCCCAGGCTTCTGCGGTTTAGCCCGCAGAGCCACCACGTCCCAATCTCTAGATGATAGCAAAAGCTTCTGGAAACCATTTTTTCAGCACCTGGCCTCACAGTTTCACCACCACCTCAGTGACCCACAAGGCCACGTTGTACATGTCTGCCCCTCTCCTCTCTTTATCCTTGAAGGACATGATGCCATTTCCAGCAATTCCTCTCCTCTCTTTATCCTTGAAGGACATGCCATTTCCAGCAATGTCCTGCGCACTGATCTCTTGATGTGCATTCACTTGTCTCTCATTTTAGCAGAGTGGAACCTTATGAACACAATGTCCTACCCCGCCATCCCAACCCACAGTCTGAAAGCATTCTTATCCTATGGGTATTTTTGGCAGCAATCGCTCCTCCACCCATCTGGGCCGCAGTCCTGGAAGGCAGGTAGTTTAAAACACCAGGTCCTCCTCTTTCTCCCGAAGCTTTTGAGATGTGAAGGACAAACAGATTGTCTGATCTTATGAAACACGTCAGGGGCTGTGGAGGAAGGGGCTTGGCCACAGCACAGATGCCTAAGCGATAGGCATGAGCAATAAGCCACTTTCTATGGAGCTCCTCTGTTTGGCTATCAGCCCCAAATTGATGGGAGGCAAGTGATGAAGCAATTGGCCAAGTACCAGGTCATGAGCTGGGAAAAGCTACTTTTTGTCAGACTACAATTCCCAGGATCGTCTGGTAGTACTGCCACTAGGAAACCTTCGTTCTGGATCATAACTTCCAGAACTACCCTGGGCAGCTCCTAGAAGAATTCCCCGTATTTTTTTTCAGGCTGTGGTTGAGACACAGACACTTAACAAATCTTACAGTTATATGTATTTGTGAAGGCTTTCACGGCCGGGATCTAATGGTTTGCATTGTGTTGTGGTTTTTTCGGGCTTCTTGGCCGTGTTCTGAAAGTGGTTCTTCCTAACGTTTCACCATTCTCTGTGGCTGGCATCTTCAGAGGACAGCAAACTGTTTGCTGTCCTCTGAAGGTGCCGGCCACAGAGACTGGCGAAACGTTAGGTAAAACCACCTTCAGAACACGGCCAAGAAGCCCAAAAAACCCACAACAACCTTACAGTTATACTTGGTAGTACTTTGGGAATATGGAAGAAATGGATAGAGCAATCTAAAGCAGTGGTTGCCAACCTTGGGTCCCCAGATGTTCTTGGACTAAAAACCCCAGAAGCCTTCACCCCTCACTGTGCTGGCCAGGATTCCTGGGAGTTGTACTCCAAGAACATCTGGGGGACCCGGGGTTGGGAACCACTGAACTAAAGGAAGAGGAAATGGCTGGAAGACAGTGCCATTCTAGTCCAGCATTCAAATTCTGTGGAGGACTAGAAGAATTTGCACAGAGGAACAAAAAGCTTACCTGGGATCTTGCTGGGTGGAGCTGCCACGACCATAGAGGGGGATGACTTTGTCACGGCTGATCCCCGCCTTGCAAACAGGGCACTCCTGACGCTCAGGACGCGTTTCCAGCCACTGTGTGATGGAACAATGATGAGGAAAAGGACTATGGCAGATATGAAAGAGGGTTTTTTTTTTTCCAAATGCATCGCTCAAAAAGCCCTGCTCTACGCCCCACAGCTATTAAATCCATTTTATCTGACAAGCCAGTGCACTTCAGATATTTTGGATTAAAAGACTGATACTCCCTGGCTTTGGGACACTTAATGGAAGTTCTGAAACATCTGGGCCAGTGGCTGGTTGCTTTACCAACCTTGGATAACACAGGTGCTCTTGGACTACCACTCCCAGAAATCCTAGCCAGCACAGCTAGTGGTGAAGGGTTTTGGGAGTTTTAGTCCAAGAACGTCTGGGAACCAACCCAAGACTGCTTTAGATACTGTTACCTAGTCTCTGAACAAATAGGTATAAGGAAATACAGTGGTGCCTCGCAAGACGATGTTAATTCGTTCCACGAAAATTGCTGTTTTGCAAAAATATTGTCTTGCGAAATGCGGTTCCCCATTGGAATGCATCGAAACCCATTTAATGCGTTCACATAGGGGGAAATAGTCATCGACTTGCGAAAATCGCCCACAAAGAAACTGTTTTGCAAAGTGCGGATCAGCTGTCGAAATTGTCTTGCGAAAAACGGTCCCGAAAATAAAAACATTTTGCGAAGCACGGACTGAAACATCGTCTAGCAAAAATTGTCCATAGGGAAAACTGTTTTGCGAAGCGCTATAGCGATCGCAAAAACTCATCGTCTTTTAAATAAATTGTTTGAAAATCGCCCACAAAGAAACTGTTTTGCAAAGTGCGGATCAGCTGTCGAAATTGTCTTGCGAAAAACGGTCCCGAAAATAAAAACATTTTGCGAAGCACGGACTGAAACATCGTCTAGCAAAAATTGTCCATAGGGAAAACTGATTTGCGAAGCGCTATAGCGATCGCAAAAACTCATAGTCTTTTAAATAAACTGTTTTGTGAGGAAATTGTCTAGCGAGGCACCACTGTAACTAAGGTACCATAAGGGACTCTGGTCAACATTAAATGTGGCAGAAGCGGGAAATTAAAATATGGCAGGAAGTCAGATTCCATCATCCTTAGCCTTGGCAAGGGAAGCATGGGGATCCCAGTCAGGCCCTGCTGCAACCAGATTCTCAGTGAAAATAGGAAATATATTTCTACCAAGTATTCAGATTCATAGAACTGTAGACTTAGTAACCCTAACTGGATCTTGCATATCTCATGGCTAAAAGGTAAGTGTAATTTCCAGACAGTTTTTAAAGTCAGTACTTTTCAGAACCACAAATATTCCTGGGATGAAGATAAAGAAAGAAAAACTCTGGAAAAGCACTGAAATGCCAAACTAAAAAGTAGATAAAACTGGGAAATGTAGAGTATTTGGTTAACGTTTTTATATAATATGTATTTACACTACTTTTATATCACCCATCTGGCTGCCAAGGCCACTCTGGGTGGTTTACAATAACATTAAAAAAAGAATTAAGGACAATTAACAGGATAGACATTAGCAAATCAAAATTAAACAACGAAGCAAAAGGCAGGAGGGCCTAGTGTGCTCTGGTCCATGGGGTCACAAACAGTCGGACACAACTTAATGGCTAAACAACAACAAAAGAACTAAAATCATTGCTACAGATTTTTTCCTTTGGAAAGTACGTCTACATAAAGGTGAATGGCACTAGAGAAAGGTTCATTTCATGATCAGCTGCTCTGCTGATAAATATTTCACAAGGTGAGGACAAAGGTTTGTTAGACCCAGAATTCACAACTGCACTTAAACTCAAGGACTTGGAAAAATTAGTTGTCTTGAGGATTCCAAGATCTGTTTTGCTAAAAACTTTCGCAGGGTTGGTTCTGCTGGTGGCACACGCAGAAGAGATCTAGTCCTCCCGGCTCTTTGCCCTCAGAAGCTGTTGGAGAGAATATTGCTCCTAATTAAAGAGAACAGCTACTAATACACTTCTCAAGCAGCCTTGAAGGACATGATATTAATCTACCTCTGATAGAAAGTTATTTCTCTGTGCTGACACACAGAGAGATCTGGGCTGTTTTCCCCAGCAAAGGCCACGTTGCCTATCAGATTCTTTCAGCTAAAGCACACAACACGCATATAACATGGCAAGCTTTTCCCTAGCAGGCCCTGGAGGTCAAAACTTGGGGAGGAGGATGCCAAACAACGTAAAGACTCACCTGGTGAAGGCATGGCCAACTGGGGGGAAAAAGAGGAAAAAAACATTATCTTTTGAGTTACTTGGGAAAGCCACACTAGATTTTAAATAGGTTTCAGCAAAATTACGTACTGGATTAAGACTTCTAAAGCCATACACCGATACCTACTTGAGGTCTGATGCCAGTGTGATGTTTTCTTTCCTATGGGTACTAGCCAAAGCAAGCGTGGGCAACAGATGACTTTCCAGATGCTGAGTCAATCTCTCTGCCCTTGACCAGCAGGGCTAAAGGTCAAGGATGATGGGTATTGTAGTCTGGAAGCCCACAGTCTCCCCAACCTTCAATGTTGCTGCTCTCAGGCCTTGGAACCCCTTCCCTGCCCATTCAATGCAAACATTGTTTTCATAGGTCCATTTGGTGGAGACCCAGAAAGGGGCCTTCTCTGTAGCTGCTCTCATCCTCTGGAACTCCCTCCCACAGGAGGCCAGGTTGTCCCCATCTTTGCTGCCCTTCCCCGAACAGGCAAAGGCCTTTCTCTACAGGCAAGCTTTTCCTTAAATGACCGGCTGCCTAAGTGAGGGGTTTTAAGTGGATGATTGTGCCTTACTGCTCTGAAGTTTGGTTTTGGTTTACTGACTGCTTTTTCAGCGGTGGTACCTGTTTGATCCTTTTAAGCAATTATACACTTACACTGCTTTTTCAGCGGTGGTACCTGTTTGAGCCTTTTAAGTAATTATACACTTACTGGTTTTTTTTAGCTTTTAAATATTGTCTTATTATATATATTTTTAACACTGTCAGCCGTTTTTAGCTTTTAAATATTGTCTTTTTATTTCATTTTTTAAACACTGTCAGCCACCTTGGACCCTCCTTAAGAAGAAAGGCGGAATAAAAACCTTATTTCAAATAGAAATAAGGCAGGCATCACCCTGATTCTAATCCATATGGAAAACATTCACCGACTAGGTTTGCTTTGGTGCCATTCAAGGCACAGGAGCAGGAATAACCCCAAAAAAAGGGGGGCGGGGAGAGAACCCCACTGTTCTGTCTTTTTCTTGACGATCTCCCCCAAAATCTTCAGTGCCACACCCCTTTATGCCCCGCCCACCCCCATCTCACCAATACAGATGGCCGCAGAGCCCAATGACCGCTTCCCTCGCAGGTTCCAGACAGATGTTGCATTCGAAAGCGCTGCGGTCGCGATTTGATCCCTCGGCTTCCCCGTCGGGAACCCCCGGACCCGTCCCGGCCGCCGCCATCTTCCGCCCTCACTTAAACTGAGAGAAGGGGGGGTGTTGGCAATGCTCTTTAGCAATTGGTCTTCTGAGCTATCCTTTATTCTCCTTCTGCATTTCATTGGACGTCGTGGCGGTCAATTGTTGTCACCAGGCCAAGCTGACTGTGTTCGTTCGTGTTAAGTCCCGCCTTTCCCACGGCGTGAACGCTGGAAACTTTTTTGATTGATTGAATTTTTCGGATGGCTAAACACGCGGCGATATTATTGGGTGAAGTTAGTTATCCGCCCGCCTTCGTTCATCGATCAAAATAAGACGTCATGTGACATAAAAAAAGAGGCGTAGCTTTGATTGACGGGACCGTCAACGTCTCAGACGCCAGCGAGCTAGGGCTCGGGGCGGGAACCTGAGCAAGGTCTGTACGCCCTTTAAAAAGCTTAGCCGACCGCGATTGGTCGGGGTTATGCCGTGAGGCGGGGCCAATCTTGATTGACGTACAGATTCTCTAGTGATAGATCGCTACGTTTGGCCAAGCCATTCGCAGATTACACTGATTATGTTTATCTAGCGCCGAGCTGTAAACGGGAAGGGCCGCGTTAACTCAAAAGCGACTTCCTGTTTGGGACTCTGAGGGGTGCTGTTGCTTTTCTGTTACCGTGGCAACTGCAACGCTGTATAGGCTTCCCTTTCGTGCGTCTCTGATAACAGTCAATTTACAGCCCCTTCCCCACAGGATTAATTTTGCCCGGCCCAGTTGTGTATTTTACCTTGGTCACGGCCAAGTGTGTAACAACTGCGAGAGGCAGGGGTTACCATGGTAACCAGAAACCTGATTCATGCGGATGCACTTGGCAGTACCTGGCAATACCGCTGCAATCCACGGATCAGCAAAACCAGCCCATCATTTGTCATATGCTCAACACAACTGGTTTTGCCACCGCCATTGCTTATTTATTTATCAAATATAAGAGGCAGTCTATAGATGGCCAGATGGAGGGATGGTCAAACTTCAACTCCTACTACACTTTTGTTGGGTCAGTCCAATGGGAGCTGCAACCCCAATCACACCTGGAGGACCTGGCATTCCCTAGCTGGAACCCATTACCTGTACCAAAATTACAACATTTACCAGAGCAGAATGCAGCATATGATACGTGCAGTCCATGTCTGGCAATATATTTGACTGAGATTTCCTGTGGGAAAGCGTGCATAAAGATACCCTTCAGGATGCTGTCCAGAGAGACCATTAATTTATTCTCCAAGACTATGTTGACCTAGACACCTACTGGGTTCTCTGAGAGTTGCACAACAACTTAAGCTGCCACCCTGTAGAGTGTTATCCCATTAAACATAATGGGATTTTGTGTGTGTGCCTGTCTTCGGTTTGCACTGTTCATCATCCCTTTCAGTGCCATAGCAAACTACAGCTGTCATAACTGCTGCCTTTAATTGCTGACACTGGTCATGGTTATATGTTGTTCACAACATCAGTATGGGAGCTGCAACCCCAATCACACCTGGAAGAGCTGGCATTCCCTAGCTGGAACCCATTCCCTGTACCAAAATTACAACATTCACAACATCAGCTCCCACTATCCCTCATCTTTATCTAGGCTAGCTAGGCCTGATGTCCAGTCACTGTTGGGGGAACAGCACAGCTCACCTCCCTGCTTTAGACTAACCCAGGACTGGTGCACCCATCAGTCAAAGTGAGGTGGTTACCTCAGGCAACAGAGACCTCGGGGAAGCCACAGAACTACTGCTGCCAGCATCATCACTACCCATTCTTCATTGTCTGATTCCCCTGTCTCGCATGTGTCCTTCTGCTACACAGAAGGAACACTTATGGAGGAGTTAGAGCTAGGAAGAGGTGGTGGTGGTGACTTCAATGTATACGACCACCGCACAGTGCTAGAGCCCCCTCTGGACAGTTTACAACATCATTATGCAAGGGAACGTTTGCCCTCTAGCAAGCTGGGTACAAATTTTACTACGCTTGGAAGGATGGAAGGCTGACTCAACTTTGAGCCAGCTACCTGTTGGGATTGAACTCAAGTCATCATGAGCAGAGACTTGGCTGAAGGCTGACTCAACTTTGAGCCAGCTACCTTTTGGGATTGAACTCAGGTCATCATGAGCAGAGACGTGGCTGCAAAATAAAGCAAAGCAAAGCGTGCTGCTTATATACCGCCCCATAGCGCTTCAAGCACTCTCTGGGCGGTTTACAATTTAATTATGCAGGCTGCACATTGCCCCCCCAGCAAGCTGGGTACTCATTTTATCGACCTCTGGTACCACTGCACCCTGGTGGCTATTGTTCATGGTGGAAGCAGTGATACCACACCATTTATTTGCTTCATTTATTTATTTATACTTTATTTATATGCCACCTTTCTCCTCATCAATGACTCAAGGGGTGGGTCAAAGCAACACATTAACCACAATTTAAAACACCACAATATTGAATGGAAGCAGTGATACCACACCATTTATTTACTTCTTTTATTTATTTATAATTTATATGCCACCTTTCTCCTCATAGATGATTCAAGGGTGGGTCAAAGCAACACATTAATCACAATTTAAAACACCACAATATTGAAAAACAATTGAATGTATAACAGTAACAAGGTGGTTTTGTACATAAGAATATTATGATAGTTTTGAACTGCCACTGCCTGCTTGGTTGCCCTTGAGTGCAGCCATTGTGTGACCGATCATTTGCCATAGTCTGATTCTTCAGGCCAAGGCTGTGTGATGGGGTGACCTCCTGCAATGCCATGGACTTGAAGACCTAATTGCAAAGTGACATCTCAAAACAGCCCACCACCATCCTCACCTTCCTCATAATTTTTTCCCATGTAGCATTGGTAGGGTGTGCTTCTCTTTCTGCCTCAGGTAGCAGGAACACCACCAAACTAGTACCAGGTGATTGTGCACAAAGAGTAGGGACTGTGGAGTGTGGGTGAAATCTTAATGTACAATGACATTCACATAAATCCTGATGACATCATCAGCCATGGACTCCCCAGGTAGCAGGAACACCACCAAACTAGTACGTACCAGGTGATTGTGCACAAAGAGTAGAGACTGTGGAGTGTGGCTGAAATCTTATTGTACAATGACACTCACATAAATCCTGGATGACATCATCAGCCATGGACTCCATTGTTCATTTAAATGTTTCCTGTTCCCTCTGTCTTCCATAGATGACTCCTTAGAGATCTCTTTTGAGTTGAGGAAGCCTTGACGAAATCTTTAGTGCCTAAAAATCACCACCACCACTGACCTCACTACTAGGGGTGACATTTTGTTCCCTGCATTGAGGTGGTGAAGGTCAAAGATGGTCACTTCTCTCTATCCTACATAGAGAAGCTGGCTGGACTGGCTGCTGAAATGTAACTGAATTTTCTCGACAGGATAGCATCCCCTCTTGCATTTCAGAAAGCCAACAGGTTTAAGAAAAAGTCATGTGGCTTTTCCCCAGTGACATTAAAAGTGTGGGCATATTTTTAAAAGGTGAGGGCACATTCTGGCTGGGATATTGGTGGGAGTTGAAGTAACTTGTCAAACTGTTTACCAGTGTAGTGAGATGTAGTATTTCTCTTTTAGTTAACATACTTCTGAGCCTTTCCCAGAAAAAAATGAGCTAGGAAGTTGTAACTGCCACACTATTCTACATATTCTCCCAGGAAGTCAATGCACTTACAATATCTGTCCTGCAACTTCTTAAGTACCTGCAAATAAAATTCTTCCGACTGCTGGTGTAACCACTCATTTGCATCATTAGTTGCCTCCAGAACACTCCCAAATCGTTGTCCATTTAGGTGTTTTTTGAGTTTGGGAAACAGATAATAGTCAGAAGGAGCCAAGTCAGGAAAATAGGGTGGATGGGGCATCACTTGAAAGCCTAAGGATGTCAGTTTTGCCATTGTTTCACCTGCAGTGTGTGACGAGGGATTGTCATACAACAAGATGATACCTTTGGAGAGCTTTCCTTGACATTTTTCCTTGATGTTTTGCCTCAACTTCATCAATAAAGCACAGTAATATTTTGCATTGGTGGTTGAACCCTGTTGGAGGTAGTCCACCAGCAGAACTCCCTTCTTATCCCACAAAACTGTTGCCATTTGCTTCTGCACCAACCTTTGCACTTTGGCCTGAGGGAACCACTGTGCCTCCATTCCTTAGATTGCTCCTTTGTTTCAGGATCATAACAGTAGATGTCTCATCACCAGTTACCAGTTTGCCCAGGAAATCTGACTCATTTCTTGCAAAATGTTCCAAAACAGCCACCGATGACCACACGTTTCCTCTTTTGTTCGGTTGTCAAAAGTTTGGGGATCCACTTTGCTGCCAATTTTCTCATTTCCAAGTCGTTGTGGAAAATGGCACCAATTCTCTCAACGTGGTATTCTCAGATATATAGCAATACTTTTGGCTGATAGTCGGTGGTCCTCCATGATCATGTCATGGATGGCTTTCACATTTGCAGGCACAGAGACAGAAACAGGCCTTCCACTGGGTTTCTCACTTTCAACACCGAAATGGCCAGTTTTAAAATAGACAACCCAACATGGATCTGCTTTGCACCTTTCCCTTTGAGAAACAGGAAGTTGATTATGGTCCTACGCTCTTCCATATAGAAGAGGTGCTGCCATGTTCACTTTGGACCTGAACATGAACGATAGGTTAAAATCACAGGTAGTTGATTTTTTGCACCATTGAATATAGATAAATTGGCCAATACACCCTGCAATTTATAACTTCCTGGCTCATTTTTCCCCCTGGGAAAGGCTCAATACTTATCAGCACTCCCTTGTACATAATGTGGCAATTATCTATTTTTTTTATTTATTTGATATGCAAACAAATACATCAATCGAATAAATAAATCTATTAAAGCTGTGAGAAGACATTCATCTTGCTCTCGAGAAACTTTTTAACTCTTAAAGTCAGGAGGGTGCAATGTTACTTTTTTACAAGTAACTATTTATAGCTGTAATTCCAGTGTGCACCAAAGTATCTGATTATTGTTACATTTGCCATTTAAAAATGCAACTAATGTTCACTTTCCCATTTCTCAGCAACTATGTAAATAGTTACTTTTAATAATGGAAAAGGTAGGGTTTGTTATGCCGGCCAGTGGCCATATTTAAAAAATCCATATTGTGATACATTGTCATGCCATTATGAATAACCAAGGGATCGTTGAAGGGGAGCTATTCCCAAAATTTCAGAGTGAATAATTACAGCCATGACCTAATTATGCTTTTACAGTACTTACTTTTACAGATGTGCCAGACAGTGGTACAGAACATGCTCTCCTGCCATTTCCTGCTTTTTCATCAACCACAACACAGGACAAGCCACAGCCCATGTTTGAACTACATGAACTTTTCCCCCTCTATAGTTTAGTGAGACCACCCTCAAAGTAATTAAATAGGTTCCCTTCTTGGATGCACACC